TGACCAAAACTTTCTGTACGGCAAGTGGTCTTTCAAATACAGTGTGGGACACCCGGTTTGTTTACCATCACCATAAGCACGTCTCTCTATTATGTAATAATAATCACTCTTGGGCACATTAAATGTCTAATTTTACGTCAATATAGACATTTTCACTAATCCATCTATGATATTTTCTTGAACATTATATAAGAAACATGTTACATAGCATATAAACATGCTGTTTATATGCTATGGAGGTGTGGTTGCTGGGTGGAGGGAAAACAGTAAGTAATGCTAATAATAATCACTCTTTGGCACATTAAATGTCTTATTTTACGTTAATATAGACATTTACATTAATTCATCAATTATATTTTCTTCATAATTATATAAGAAACACGTTACATAACATATAAACATTTTATATTTATATACAATGGAGGTGTGGTAGCCGGGCGGATGGAAAAGATTTTGTCACTCTTTTTAATACATAACGCTTTTGTTTACAATTCTCGGCATGAATTATTCATTACTTCACCCTTTGTGTATGATGGCATCTAAAGGTAGTTGTTAGAAACGATTAAACTTGGTGAGCATGGCTCTGGGCCACATTAAATATTGTGTAGGTATGTAGCCCAGGCTGACTACATAACTACATCATTATTGTAACTGATAATTGTACGTATGTGTACCTGTACCTAAGTAAACTTACACACTGTGCTGGTATGCAGGTACACATTAAAATCACTAAGAGTGTCTTATTAGTCTTGAAGATGCCATATTAATATTGATAATAATAACAATATTAATCACTCTAAGGAGCATTAAATATCGTATAAAACGTTAATTTAGACATTTTGCTTAATCCATCTAAATACACCCCACAGTAGAATAAATTAACATAAATATGGGATGTGGTAGCCAGGCAACTTGTAGGACTTGTGGTAGCTAGGCAACTTGTAGGACTTGTGGTAGCCAGGCAACGTGTAGGACTTGTGGTAGCCAGGCAACTTGTAGGACTTGTGGTAGCCAGGCGACTTGTAGGACTTGTGGTAGCCAGGCAACTTGTAGGACTTGTGGTAGCCAGGCGACTTGTAGGACTTGTGGTAGCCAGGCAACTTGTGGTAGGCAGGCAACTTGTAGAGGACTTGTGGTAGCAGGCAATTTGGAGTCCAACATCAGAGAAAATGTGTCACTATAATATTACTGGGGGTAACTAGAAAATTATTCCTTTTGTATGCCTTCACTCAGGGCATCATTTCTTCTAAAAATGATGTTATATGAGAATGGGAGTGTTTCCATACCTTTAGCCACCAGGCCAGGTGGCCTGGTGGCTAAAGCTCCCGCTTCACACACTGAGGGCCCGGGTTCGATTCCCGGTGGGTGGAAACATTTCGACACGTTTCTTTACACCTGTTGTCCTGTTCACCTAGGAGCAAATAGGTACCTGGGTGTTAGTCGACTGGTGTGGGTCGCATCCTGGGGGACAAGATTAAGGACCCCAATGGAAATAAGTTAGACAGTCCTCGATGACGCACTGACTTTCTTGGGTTATCCTGGGTGGCTAACCCTCCGGGGTTAAAAATCCGAACGAAATCTTATCTTATCTTATCTTACACAATGTAAAGTGACGAAAACCTGATGTGTTCGTCTGGTTTGTTCATGTGTGGGTGGGGTGGGGAGGGTGGCCCCTGTAGAGTACCCATACTTCCCAAACCTGACTTCCTACAAATAAAACTCACCTCTCACCCTACATTAAGACTACAAATATTTTAAGGTAATTAATGAATGTACTGTATATGTATTTTATTGCTCTGGGGAGCTTTAATTAAATTTTTATTATTATTATCACACTGGCCGATTCCCACCAAGGCAGGGTGGCCCGAAAAAGAAAAACTTTCACCATCATTCACTCCATCACTGTCTTGCCAGAAGGGTGCTTTACACTACAGTTTTTAAACTGCAACATTAACACCCCTCCTTCAGAGTGCAGGCACTGTACTTCCCATCTCCAGGACTCAAGTCCGGCCTGCCGGTTTCCCTGAACCCCTTCATAACTGTTACTTTGCTCACACTCCAACAGCACGTCAAGTATTAATTAAATATCGTAATATATTACGTGTGGGTGGGGTGGGGCGGGGTAAGGTGGGCTGACCAGGCTGGTTTCCATACCTCCCAAACCTGACTTCCTACAAATTAAACTCGCCCCTCACCCAACATTAAGACTACAAATATTTTAGAGAAAGTAATGGGTGTACTGTGTGTGTATTTTACTTTTTATTGTTTTTAATGCCTAATTCTATTACTAACGTAATATATGTTAGTGTAAACTTGTTACCTGGCATTTAAATGCATTTATAAGTGGAAAAAATGGCGTTCTGCTTTCCGATGAAGTCTGCTTTCCGTAAGTAGCCTGGAACCTAACCTGCCATGTAAGTGGGGCCCTACTGTATAGGAAATTTCATAGAACAGGTATCAAATGAGAGAGTGGGTGAGATGTTATCAACAAATTTTGTTGAAAATAAGAAAAAGTTTTGGAGTGAGATTAACAAGTTAAGGAAGCCTAGAGAACAAATGGATTTATCAGTTAAAAATAGGAGAGGAGAGTTATTAAATGGAGAGTTAGAGGTATTGGGAAGATGGAGGGAATATTTTGTGGAATTGTTAAATGTGATGAAGATAGGGAAGCTGTGATTTCGTGTATAGGGCAAGGAGGAATAACATCTTGTAGGAGTGAGGAAGAGCCAGTTGTGAGTGTGGGGGAAGTTCGTGAGGCAGTAGGTAAAATGAAAGGGGTAAGGCAGCCGGGATTGATGGGATAAAGACAGAAATGTTAAAAGCAGGTGGGGATATAGTTTTGGAATGGTTGGTGCAATTATTTAATAAATGCATGGAAGAGGGTAAGGTACCTAGGGATTGGCAGAGAGCATGCATAGTTCCTTTGTATAAAGGCAAAGGGGACAAAAGAGAGTGCAAAAATTATAGGGGGATAAGTCTTTTTGAGTATACCTGGTAAAGTGTATGGTAGAGTTATTATTGAAAGAATTAAGAGTAAGACGGAGAATAGGATAGCAGATGAACAAGGAGGCTTTAGGAAAGTTAGGGGGTGTGTGGACCAGGTGTTTACAGTGAAACATATAAGTGAACAGTATTTAGATAAGGCTAAAGAGGTCTTTATGGCATTTATGGATTTGGAAAAGGCGTATGACAGGGTGGATTGGGGGGCAATGTGGCAGATGTTGCAGGTGTATGGTGTAGGAGGTAGGTTACTGAAAGCAGTGAAGAGTTTTTACGAGGAAAGTGAGGCTCAAGTTAGAGTATGTAAGAAAGAGGGAAATTATTTCCCAGTAAAAGTAGGCCTTAGACAAGGATGTGTGATGTCACCGTGGTTGTTTAATATATTTATAGATGGGGTTGTAGGAGAAGTAATAATAATAATAATAATAATAATATCTTTATTTTACTACAAGTACATGTACAGGGTATACAGTCGTAGCTGATAATAATGACATGCTACTATGTAGAAAGTCCCTTGTTATGCTCCGCATTTCGGGCAAATTAGGTCAGTGTCCCAGGATGCGACCCACACCAGTCGACTAACACCCAGGTACCCATTTTACTGATGGGGAACATAGACAACAGGTGGAAAGAAACACGTCCAATGTTTCTACTCTGGCTGGGAATCGAACCCAGGCCCTCGCCGTGTGAAGCGAGAGCGTTAGCCACCAGGCCACCAGAGCGAGGGTCTTGGCAAGAGGCGTGGAGTTAAAAGATAAAGAATCACACATAAAGTGGGAGTTGTCACAGTTGCTCTTTGCTGATGACACTGTGCTCTTGGGAGATTCTGAAGAGAAGTTGCAGAGATTGGTGGATGAATTTGGTAGGGTGTGCAAAAGAAGAAAATTAAAAGTGAATACAGGAAAGAGTAAGGTTATGAGGATAACAAAAAGATTAGGTGATGAAAGATTGGATATCAGATTGGAGGGAGAGAGTATGGAGGAGGTGAATGTATTCAGATATTTGGGAGTGGACTGTCAGCGGATGGGTCTATGAAAGATGAGGTGAATCATAGAATGGATGAGGGGAAAAAGGGTGAGCGGTGCACTTAGGAGTCTGTGGAGACAAAGAACTTTGCCTTGGAGGCAAAGAGGGGAATGTATGAGAGTATAGTTTACCAACGCTCTTATATGGGTGTGAAGCATGGTGATGAATGTTGCAGAAGGAGGAGGCTGGAGGCAGTGGGAGATGTCATGACTGAGGGCAATGTGTGGTGTGAATATAATGCAGAGAAATTCGTAGTTTGGAAGTTAGGAGGAGGTCGGGTTTACCAAAAACTGTTGTCCAGAGGGCTGGGGAAAGGGGTTTTGTTGAGGGGGTTCGGACATGTGGGAAGAAATCGAGCGAAACAGAGTGATTTCAAGAGTGTATCAGTCTGTAGTGGAAGGAAGGCGGGGTAGGGGTCGGCCTAGGAAAGGTTGGAGGGAGGGGGTAAAGGAGGTTTTGTGTGCGAGGGGCTTGGACTTCCAGCAGGCATGCGTAAGCGTGTTTGATAGGAGTGAATGGAGACAAATGGTTTTTAATACTTGACGTGCTGTTGGAGTGTGAGCAAAGTAACATTTATGAAGGGGTTCAGGGAAACCGGCAGGCTGGACTTGAGTCCTGGAGATGGGAAGTACAGTGCCTGCACGCTGAAGGAGGGGTGTTAATGTTGCAGTTTAAAAACTGTAGTGTAAAGCACCCTTCTGGCAAGACAGTGATGGAGTGAATGATGGTGAAAGTTTTTCTTTTTTGGGCCACCTTGCCTTGGTGGGAATCGGCCAGTGTGATAATAAAAAAAAATAAGGTATCAGGGATGTTTGGATAGGAATATCTGTAGGCTTTCCTTGTGTGACCGCCCCTCCAGAGGGAAGTTTCTCAAGCAAACAGTTCATCACTAACATATTAGACACTTTTTGGAGATGTATCATCATACTGATCTGAATAATATCTTGTAGGCTGATAATTGTTTGATTTGGTAGGACCATGAAGGTGACACTCCACTTCATGACGCTGTCTCCAAAAAGCGAGATGATATTCTAACTCTTCTACTGGATCATGCAGCTGACATCACCCTTACAAACAACAATGGTTTTAATTCCCTTCATCATGCAGCTCTTCGCGGCAATCCAAGGTAAGTATACAATGCTATTACCATTAAACCCTGAGCATAACGGACCTCTGTAAAGCAGATAGTGGGTAAAATGGACAAAAATCTGGCCAGATTAAAAGTTCGGCAAGTCTGCTGAATGGGGTATCAAGTAAAATTATTAATATAGTGGGCCAAGTGTGCTGCATTGCACTGCGGTATTGCCCTGTTGTATCATCGATGAAATGGATCAAGTCCACTTTATCACTAGTTTGTCTGGTCTAGGTTTCATCTTCAACCTGTCTGTTTCCATTCTTCCAGGGCAGGTGGCTCAGTCTGTGTTTGTTACTATACTTCCGGCTTCTCAATACTGTGATTGTTTGTTCTCCAATTTTCCCTGTTTTTAGTGTTTATCATTATTTTAATAAAGTGCTCTCTACAGTGTTATTAACCCTTTCAGGGTTGACAGGCCCTCTCAGAGACTTGTTCTCAGGGTCGGCCAAATTTCAAAAAAAAAAAAAAAAAAAAAATTGTTCTTATGAAAAGATAGAGAATCTTTTCCCGATCATAATGACACCAAAAGTATGAAATTTGGTGGAAAACTTACAGAATTATGTTCTCGTGAAGTTAGCGGTCTCGATGATGTTTACGCATCGGCGATTTTGCCTACTTTGAGCCCTATTTTCGGCCAATTCCAGTGTACTTGTTGACAAAAATCATAACTATTTCGCTAGAACTCCATTTTTTCTATTGAATGAGTACAAGAAACCACCCATTTACCGATTTCAACTATCCAATAAAGTGGTCAGAATTTAGCAATTTTGCCAAGTTCACACAAATTTCAAAAGATGCCAATTTCCAAATAGGGTCCAGAATAAACAAGAAAGACATTCCTGGTACTAAAATAACATTTCTTCTGTTCATTAGTCACGTCCCCATGCCCCTCTTAAATTCTTTTGCTTTCCACTTTGAATTTTTATTCTCAAAAAATAGAAGATTTACTATTATGCAGACTACTGCATTAGTTTAGAAATGGTATAAATAATATCAGCGCACTTGTGAAAGAATATTAGACTCACCAGTTGACGTGTAGCATGATTTGTTTACTTTCGAACTTTGGTAAAAATCAAAGATTTCTGCTACTTTGAGCTCAATTTCAAGGTACTTTTCATTATGAAACCAATCAAAATCGTCTCAATTTCTGTAATATGTCTTCCATTCTATAAAATGAGACCAGGAAAACTAGAATACCCTCATAAATACCATATGAAAATACAGTGCAAAGTCGCTGTTTTAAACTAAAAACACTGTCAAATTTTTTTTTCTCATTACGCACTGTGTGCTGCAGGATTTTTTTATACTGCGCACACTGACCACATAGACCCATTCTTTCATATGTAGGCCTACCAGCTTTCTCTCACTAGATTTGAGGGTGCTAGAATTTAGGTGTACTAGTACATCAAAAACCCTGGTGCGTAAGCCGTACTAGTACGTCAGAAACCCTGAAAGGGTTAATAAGGAAGGTAGAATCTGGTGGCTTGGGTGTATAAGGAATATTAGGTAGGAAAGCAAAGTCTGACATTTATAGAAGCAAAGGCACAGTATATGCTATGAAGTACAGTGTAGAGGCTGGGCAGTTGTTCCTAAAAAGTGTATGAAAAAGGCTCAAGACACAAGGGTTGACAAAGCAATGCATAAATAATATTATCACTAGCATGCTTTTGGTGTTAATGCCTGTTTTGTAGAGCTTTGTTTTGATGCTAAGAAATTAGGCCATACAGGTATAGATTTTGGGATAAGTAAGGCATGGCTTTGGTGCTTCCTCACATGCTATGGCTTGATTAGCATAAAAACTTAGGGCGAGGTTAGTAGTGCATCTGTGTCTCCTCAAACCATCTACACAAGAGAGAGGGGTGGGTAGATTGCAATGGATCAGAGAATACCTGACAGGGAAGCAACAAGAAGTCATGGTATGTGATGAGGTATTAGAGTGGGCACATGTGATGAGGGGAGTTCCACAGGGGTCAGTCCAAGGACTAGTGCTAATTTTGGTATATGTGAACGACATGACGTAAGGGAGAGACTAAGAAGTGTTCCTGTTTGCAGATGATGTGAACTTGATGAGGAAAATTAAATCAGATGAGGATCAGGCAGGACCACAAAGAGATCTGGACAAGCTGGAAGCTTGGTCCAGCAACTGGCTCCTCGAATTTAACCCCGCCAAATGCAAAGTCATGAAGATTGGGGAAGGGCAAAGAAGACTGTGGACAGAGTATAGTCTAGGTGGCCAAAGACTGCAAACCTCACTCAAAGAAAGGGATCTCTGAGTGAGTATAATACCGAGCACATCTTCTGAGGTGCACATCAACCAGATAACTGCTGCAGCATATGGGCACCTGGTAAACCTGAGAATAGCATTCTGATACCTGAGAAAGGAATTGTTCAAGACTGTACACTGTGTATGTCAGGCCCATACTGGAGTATGCAGCACCAGTTTGGAACCCACACCTGGTCAAGCACATCAAGAAATTAGAGAAAGTACGAAGGTTTGCAACAAGCCTATTTCCAGAGCTAAGGGATGTGTCCTACGAAGAAAGGCCTGATGACACTGGAGGAGAGGAGGGTTAGGGGAGACATGGAAAATACAGCGAGGAATTGATAAGGTGGACAGAGACAGGATGTTCCAGGGATGGGACACAGAAACAAGAGGTCACAGTTGGAAGTTGAAGACTCAGATGAGGCAAAGAGGTGTTAGGAAGTATTTCTTATTTCTTTAGTCATAGAGTTGTCAGGAAGTGGAATAGTCTGGCATAGTGACATAGTGGAGGCAGGAACCATACATAAATAACAAAAAGGCACAATACCGTGACTGGGACAATACACAAATAACCCGCACATAGAAGAGAGGAGTTTACGACGAAGTTTTGGTCTGACTTGGACCATTTACAAAGTCACACTAACAAAAAGGAGAGGAGGGAGGGAGTATGTATAGGCCAGCAGACGGGGACGGAACAAGACAGGTAGTAGGAAAGGAAGAAGAGAGGTAGTGGTAGAGGTAATAGTAATAGTAGTGGAGTCCGCCGAAGACTAAGAAAGAGGAGCACTGCAAGGGAGCTAGGGGCCTACAAAGGATAGGAACAAGAACACAGAGGGGGGGAATAATATAAAGGCAGAACAAATAAAATCCAAAGGAGAAAGAGGAAAGGGGAGGGGGGAGAAGGGGAAAAAGAATCAGTTTTCCTCTTACCCCTTGGTTTTTTTTTCTTCTGCCTTGAGTGTTTGGTCCATTTATAATATATTTTCTTCCCTTTGTGTTCTTGTTCCTACCCTTTGTGGGCCCCTAGCTCCCTTGCAGTGCTCCTCTATCTTAGTCTCTGACTGACTCCACTACAGGTCAGCCATCACTAATCCGGCAATCAGTTATCTGGTTCTGTCAGTAATTCGGCACTAATTTCAGCTAGCGTAATTTCAAATTTCATCATTATACTGACTCAAATCATTATACTGACTCACAAATTGTGCAGATGGTTGTAAATCCACAGAAGCAAGCCAGTGGAGGAGAAAGCAGTGATGAAAATGAGGAAGATGTAGCAGAAAGTCTCTCTATTGATAGGTTAATTAAGTGCATTCTAACCTAACCACTATAATCCGGCAGACTCACTAATTCGACACACTACAGGTCCCAATGATGCCGGATTAGTGATGGCTGACCTGTACTATTACTACTACCTCTACCACTACCTCTCTTTTTTCTTTCCTACTACCTCTCTTGTTCTCTCCCTGTCTGTTGGCCTATATATACTCCCTCCTCTCCTTTTTGTTAGTGTGACTTTGTACGTAAATGGTCCAAGTCAGACTGAAACATTGTCGTAAGCTCCTCTCTCCTATGTGCAGGTTATTTGTGTATTATACATAGTTTTAAGACGAGGTATGATAAAGCTCATGAAGCAGGGAGAGAGAGGACCTAGTAGCGATCAGTGAGAGGTGGGGCCAGGAGCTATGTCTTGACCCCTGCAACCATATATAGGTGAGTAACGTTTTACCAGATATCGGAAACACTCTTGGAACAAGTGTAGGTTTAGAAAATGCTTGACAGTTTCCTCCGCCAAGTGCCTGATGAACCAGGCTGTGATGGATACATGGCCCAATGGGCTGCTGGCAGCAATAGCTTGACTGTTCAAGAAAGCATAAGACAAGCGTGGCTTAGGGCCAGGCTTTGGGAGTAGGAAAACTCTTGAAACCCATCAAAGGCATATGTATTGTAAATTACTGTACTGTATTGTGATACTGTAGTTGATTATTAGTATGTCTAGTTTTCCATCAATGCAGAGGGCTAAGTCTGCTGCATTTGGGAGTTGCTTCATGTTTAGTAGTCCATCTACTGCATCAGTCACTTCCATACAAAGTATTATTAACATTTTTCCCTACCCTATTAGTCCATTTTATGGAGGTTTCACTTTTACTCTTACATGTAAAAAGTGTGAACTGGTGTTGGTGAAGCATAAGGGAATGAATTTTGGTCTTGAGAGTTTTCTAGACTGAAATCTCCTTGGATCACAAGATTGTCCCTTGCTCTGCTTAGTGAATCTGCAGTTCTCTCCATATTCATTTTTGTATTTCTTGTACTTCAGCATAGGTTTTATATTGTTTAAAAGGCTGTGCATAACTGCCTCAAACACACAGGACTCCTGCCTCCAGCAGAAGCTAGCCCAACCTCTGGGTTGGAGAGGTGGAACTCTCCAGTAGGAGCTGGATTCACACTACCTTTCAGTTTAAGGTCCTTGGCCTTCTGACTTTGTCCTTATTTTTCATTTTCTAGATTTCACTTGTCAGTGCATGTCTATTCCTTTCCAGTTTTCTGTTGTTTATGCATCTCCTAGTGTAACTAATCTCTATGCCCTCCAGGACAGCACCAAGGGAAAGTTTGAGGAGGTTTTTCAGCCCCCAAAATTCCCTCAGCCTCCCTAATAAAAATAGAAATAATAACAATGCTGCTTTGAAACAAGTCTTCTAGCTCCCCTTTCAACAAGATAGCCACCCTTAAC